CTCTGCTTTTGCCACCCCGCGTAGTAACGCAATGGGAAGGAGAAAAAAGATTTGGTTGCCAAGACTGCCGGGCGCTCATGGCAGGCGATTCCGGTGGTTCCCCAGTGCCACGGTGGAAGTTTGAATGCCGAGTTCATTGTAAAGCCCAATTCTTTGGCGCGAACTTGATCATTCGTGCTCCTGCTCGTGCCGTATTTGTGTTTTGGGCTGGAAATCGCGCTCCCGCCCAGGTCCGGTGCTCACTGCGGTCTTCAGGTTGCTCGTAATTTTCCAAAGTCCTGTCAGGGCCACGTCTCCTGTGCTCCTTGGCCGGATCTCGAAATTCTAAGGTTTTGGAATTTCCAAAACCCTACAAAAAACCTAAAGCCTAAACCCTAAACTCGCAATCGTGACTTTGAGGTGCCGCCTCCCTAAACCGTGCTTCTGCCAGAGTGCCGTGCCTTGGGGATTTTAAACGGCGGAGCAAGTTCTAACCTGAGCCCTTCGGTCCTGAAGCCCAAAACATACCTCAAGCACCTGAAGCTCTCAAAGACATTCAAAAGCGGCGGGAGTCGAGCCTCCCCGTCCTGCTGTCTTCCCCATTGAAGGATGGCAGCTGCTGGTTGGCAGAGGGACTAGACCTGGGAGCTCAGCGCTGCAGAGCTTCGCGTCGAAATTTACGGGCGATCAGGCTGCATGGGTCTAGGGTCATGGGGGTCATGGGGGTCATGGGGTTCAGGGCTTTACGTGTTCAGGCTTTGGAAGGTTTCGGGGCACAGGGTTTAGTTCAGGGCTTCATAACTTCAGATGCGTGCTTCTACTTGTGGGTCGATGGACGACTCTGCTTGTTGTACATGACATGACATGTTTGCATGAGTCATCATCGCAACAAGCTGGCATGAAGCGAAGCTATGTGCACATGGACAGGCGACAGCACTGCAAGAATGATGAACAGTTCAGAGCTTCCTGCTACCGAAGGCCCTATGCCTACGCTCATAGACCCTAAATCCTAAACCCGAAGCCCTACACTCTAAACCCTAACCCCGAAGTCCTCTAAATCCCGAACCCTAACCCCGAAGCCCAATAAACCCTATACCCTAAACCATAAACCCTACACCCTCAACCCCACACCCTACACCCTAAACCCTAAACCCTAAACCCTAAACCCTAAACCCCACACCCTAAACCCTAAACCCTACACCCTACACCCTAAACCCTAAACCCTAAAAACCCCAAAAGCCTGACACCTCAAAAGAGACCAAGGCCCGGGCTCCATGCCGGGCGCTGGTGGCTCGGGGCTTCCGTCTGACGTAGGGGTCGTTCTTTCAGGGTTTGGGGCTTTTGGGTTTAGGGTTTAGGGTTTAAGGTTTAGGGTTTAGGGTTTTGGGCTTTCTGGGTTTTTGGAGTTTGTGTTTGGGGTTTAGGGTTTTTGGGTTTGCGTTTGGGGCTTGGGTTTGGAGTTTGGGGTTCAGGGAAGGTTCTATAAGTGTTTTGAACGGGGTCTACAAAGGCTCTTCAAAGGTCGCCCAAGTAGGACTTGTACGCTTTATCAATATTTCATAAGATACAACACTTTATCATTGGGGTGTTAAAGATTTTGTGCAGGTTCTACAAGAGGGCTTGGTGCTTTACGGATTTCGGGGTTTAGGCTTCAAGTTACAGAACCCGTATCCAGCCGATGTAGCCCTTCCGATCTATCTTTCGTTTTATTCCCGATGCGCCCAGCTCATTTGGCTCGACCACGAAAGAAGGGCCGTAATATGTAGGATAGCATTTTGCGGGACATTAGACCATGATTCTCTACACTCCTGCTACTTATTCACTTTGCGCCCACACCAACCAACCTCCACACTTCCACGTGCAGGCATGACACTCTTGAACTTTAACCCTTTTACCAAACACCGCAATCCTGCAGCCCTGCGTTCTCTTCCCCTGGCGCCTTAACCCTACAGCGCAAAATCCCGAAACCCTAAAACCCTAAAAACCCTATACCCGAAACCCCTAAACCCTGAAACCTACACCCCAAACCCTAAACCCTAAAACGCAAAGCTGCGCCTACGTTCTCCGCGGTTCGGCTTTCAGGATTCCCATCTACTCCGGTCTCCTGGAGCCGGCCGGTCGCTTGATTTAGTTTGTGTGTATATGGGTTTAAGGTTTAGTGTTTAGGGTTTCGGGTTTTTCTACTGTATTATATGAGGCGCTGCTGCTCAAGGAGGGTTCAGTAGTTTCCAGTCTGCTGGTCCAGGCCCAACTTGATCAGGCGACCCTGCGTGGCATGTAATACTGCCCGTGTAGCAGGCAATCTTTGCCTAACGTTTCGCACTTGACGCTTGCGCTCTTACCGTGGGCGTTCCGCCAAGCTTTTGTGACTTGCTTCATCATCTTCCTGTTTTGCTTGGGCTTAGGTGGCGCAAGGGTGCAGTGTGTCAGAGACGGGCATAAACGGGCTTGCAGGATTTACACGGAAAAGACGCATAATGAGGCTGGTCAGGCCATTCTGCGGGATATGTTCCACAGCTCACCTGTGTCATGGGAACACCATGTTGACGACCACCTTCAAATCGTGAATGAACATTTGTGGGCAGAACTTGTTGCCAACTTGCGGAAGTCGCCTATGCGGCCCAGAAAACAACACATGTCAGAGCAGCAGTGGGATGCCATCAGACAAAGGCGGCATGCACGCAGGCTTTGCTTTCTTGTCAAACAACAGCTTGCCAGGGATCTGCAATCGTGGTGCTTCCGTGCTTGGAAGAGCGGGGTGTCAGGTAACACGCATGCTGCCAGAAAAGTGCGAAGGTGAATCTTGTTGGCTCGACTTGGCAGGGTGATTCAACAGCTCACCACGGCCATCAAAGAGCTCGAGTCCAGAGATTCAGCTGAACATAATGTCATGTTGTGTTGTACTTTGTTGTTGTACATTGTATTTCATGTTATGTTAAGTTATCTCTGTATATATCTGCATATACAGTACGAGGGGCATATAGCGCTTTAGGCTTGTATACCATACACAAAACACCTGCGTGTGTAGTGTGTGTGTGTGTATATACATGTATATATGGACATATGAATCTATAGTTACAGTTATACTTTGGCAAGTCCGTGGAATGCTTAAGACACCAGGGTTTGCCGGTGCAAAGGGTGGGGTCAGATGTGGGGCAAAGGCCGGGGTCAGATTTGGGACTGGCGGGGGCGAGATTCGGGGCTGGCCGGTGTAAGATTTGGGGTTGATCGGTGCAATTGTTGAGGGCAAACTCCGGCATCCACTGCAGGCGACACCCGGCACATGAGCTTTGATTTTTACTCAGACGCATTCTGAACCCGACTCATCGTCATCGCTCGAAGCGGACGCAGCGTCCGTCTCATCAGAACTGTCGTTGACATCCAACCGGAGCTCGGGGCGCAAATCTGTAGCCAACAAAACCTGAGCATGAAGCATGACCAATGCTTTGTGAAGTGTGAGCTGCTGCGCCGCAGATGGTAACAGCAGTCGCAGTAGCTGAAACTAAGCCAAGTGTCGGCACAAATGCAGGCGCCAATCATGGGCACGCTCATAGCGCTGCCTCGAAATATGAGCCAACTGGAAGCCGCAGGAGTAAGAGTAGGAGTAGGAGTAGCAGGAGTGAAAAACAACAGCACGGCATATAAATCGAGTCATGTCTATTGCTGCCCACCCGGTCCTGTCAGCGAACTGTACAACGACGTGCGAGCACCTTCCGGCCACTGGATGTGGTTGAGGTCGAAACCATGCCTGGCTTGCATCGGGAGCGCACCACTATCGACGGACCCTTTCAATCCCTTTCATACGCTTTCGCTTGCCTGCTGCATGACACGTGAATTCTGAGACCTGGACAGACATAGGAGCGCACCCGGAGACAACAGGCGATCCGTGCCATAATCGTAAATCTTGCTGTTCGTTGTGACCCTCAGCAACAGCAGACTCGGGCGACGATGACGACCACCAACAGTGAAACCATCAACACCATCACCACGGCAACATCAAGAGTAACACCACTCCACATTACTATATAGACAGTACTAGTACTCACAAGAGGTCTGGTCTATACTGTCTATACTGCATTTCGTTCTGAGCGGCGTGGGGCTCAGAGAATCTGTCCGGAAAGCATTTCGAGAAATGCTTTTTGAGACATCGGCGACTAAAGTTGTCCATGTTGGATCCTTGGATGATGACGGTGGCCACATAAGCCTAGCTCACAGTGTTGGTTGGCTTGACTGCTCACGCCAAGAATCTGCGACTGTGGCCATGTGCCAGATTACATCCAAGCGAAGAATCTCACGCATGCTGAAGTTGTTTCTCCAGGCATCCCCATACCGTTCCAAGCAGCGGGTGGAGTACTCACGGCCTTGATCCGGCGGCACCCCGATGTCCCGCAACATTGCCGCGAACCACTCATGATCAGCATCGTCTCTCTTTCTCGCCTTGGAGACAGGGTGGGTTCTTACATATGCACTGGTCAGGGGCTAGGAGGGGATAAGAGCTAATCGCACAATTGAGGTCTTTCTTGCGTGACATCTTGCTGCTTTGAGTGCGAGCCTCGAGTCAAGCCGCACACGCTGGGATACCCCATCAACCGTGTATGCACAGCTTGCTCGTGATCGCACGTGCGAACGTAATTATGAGCATGGAAGGCCGTCTGTGCTTGACACAGGTCCGCTGCAAGAGTGCATCAAGATTCTGTACACAAGGGAACTATGACTATGACTATAACTATAACGACTATAACTAACTAAGGGAACCAACGATATAGAATAGAATCAACACTGAGAGGACGTAGACCGTAGAAACTGTATAGCCTATAGCCCCTATACCTATAGCTATAGCCTACACACTGACAATCTGTATGAGTCGATGCACTGCGGGTGCAGCCTGGCTTCTGTGTCGAGGCCAATGCTCTTATGAAAAAGGTTCGATTCAGCATTCTTTGACACGGTGGCGATCAGACCTTGTACACTAATCGCAAATCTCCGACCTTAGGCCGGAGGAATGTCAGATCTCTGAAACCTTAGCTCGTGGCTGCGCGTGCCTTCAAATCCTTCACAAGTTTCTCCACCTGGGCCACCTGACTGGGGAACTCCTTCTTGCTCAGCTTGAGAACTTTGCGAGCGAATCGGTCAATCTCCTGCCCATCTGCAATCGCCTGCTGCTTCATCTCATCATCCCCGCCATCATAGTCTCGGAGCAAGAGCTGGTGGCACATGGCAGCCACGAGTCCTTGCTGGAAGTGGAACAAATCCGGCGGCATTTCCAAAGTTGTACGCAGGCTGTCGAAGCTTTCCTTCCCGGTGGTCAGAATCTTGACCAGGTCAGCCTCCCACTGCAAGATCGCATTGGCCATGTCTTCGTTCTTGCTGAACTCCTCCAGTCCTGCTTGTGATGCTGACGTTTAACATATGTCGCGACATCGTCTCCCTAAATACCCTTGCTCATTTGACTGGACTTATCTAGAGACTATCTAAACTTATCCTATCTAGGCTTGCCAGGATTGCACAAAAAAAACTGCTCGCTCTGATTCCTGACTCTGTACTCACAAGAAAGCCACGACTAAAAATTGAATCTAATCTGTCTCTTCACCCAGGCCTTCGATGTGATTCTCCATAACCTCAGACTTATCGTCGAGGAAAGAAACAGCGTCCTTGACATTCTTCGAGTCCGTTTCGCGGAGCATCGCATCAAGCTTCTCCCAAAGCTCCCCATTCCGAATACCCGCCTTGTGCTGCTGAAGCGACTCCTTGGTGGCATTGACGGTGCCGGCCAACTTCATAATCAGACGCTGCTCTGCACTCATCAGCGAGGGTAGCTCCAGCTTGTGCACAGCCTTCGCGGTTTGGACATCCAGGAGAGCCGCCACCCCTTGCATCACATGTTCCACTTTTGTCCAAGTGGGGGCTTCGGCGAGGTAGTCGAGCCCCTGGCCTTGGGGCGATGTGTACGCGTAGGCGATGCGAGCCGCGCGCAACTGCTGCTCCACCACGGGACCGAGTGAACCCTTGACGCTGGCATCCAGTTTCAGGAGAGCTTCCAGATGTCCTTCGTGGATGAGCGATTTGCACCAGCTCGGCGGCAACTGAATGCAATCGGCCGCACGTCCATCCTTCAGAATCCCCACCAAGTCTTCAAGACCTCGAGGAAGGCTGCCGGCCTGGGACTGGCTGCCGGATTCCGATTTGCCTGGCGAGGCACACACGACAAACCTAACGTCGACGATTTTCTGCAGACCACTCACGCAAGCCAACTCATGAACTGATGCAACAAATTCTGACAAGCGGCTCTGCATCACAAAGTCGTGCACTGCGAGGACATGTTTGCTGCCAGCGTACTTGGTAATGGCAGCACTTGCTTTGCAAAAGGTGTCCACAGTCAGGTTTCCCTCCGTGTCACCCACAATCCCGCGCAGGGACAAGAAATCCTTGTATGCAATGGTCAGGTTGTCCACAACCTGCTCCCTGATGGCCGCCCACGGCTCCACCTATACATGCCAGGCTTAAACGGTACTCTTAACCCAACTCCAAACCCAAACACAAAGCCTAAAAACCCCTCCTTAACCTTAAGGACCCCTTACGGCCTGAAGCCTAAAACTTAACACAGAAAATTGCAACCCTGATACAAACCCACTAAAAAATGAGTGAGTGGGTGAGTGAGTGAGAGAGCGAGGGAGGAAGTGAGTGAGTCAGTGAGTGAGTGAGCGAGCGAGTAAGTGAATGAGTGAGGGAGTGGGCGGGTGCGAAAGTGAGCGTGAACCAGTGTCTGAGTCTCAACGTGAGAGTGGAAGTGACAGTAAGAGTGAGAGTCAAGGTGAGAGGGGGAGTGAGTGAGTGCCCGGCTACAGGAACCGAGACTATAGTCAGGACAGCATCAAAGAAATTCGATCATAGCAAACGCGGCATAAATCGATGACCATGATAAGCTGAGTAACTGAGTATCTGAATAACTTGACTATGACTAAGACTATAACTATAACTATAACTTTAACTATGACTAAGACTATATAACTATGATGCAGTTAATGAGACTGTTTTTAAAGCCCCTCCAATCCTTGAAGGCTTTGGCCATCTTCCAAAGATTTTTGAACATGGAGCTGTCGGTGGTCTCCTCAGAAATCATCTCCTGCTTGAGAACCGAGCAGACATGTACCAAGACCAGTGGAACCTGGGCATCCAATACGATATGCAGCTTCTGCATGGCATCCTTCAACCTGATGACATCAGGATTCCTGTCCAGCTCGGCCACGTTTGGCTGATTGCGAAGCCGTCTCTCGCACGCTTTGGCAAGGCAGCACAAGTCCACATTTTCTGTGTGACACAGCCAACCGCACATGCCCTCAGGGACGCCCGGCACGGCATCGACATCGGGAAGTTTCGCAACCACGCGGGAGCACTCCTCAAGGATGGTCTTGGCCGGGACATACAGCCTTGCTGCATTGTCCAATCTGCTCCACAGTGTCCTGGGATGGACAGGTGGTTTTCTACATTATATTTATAATATTTATATTTTATACTGCCACCAGCAATAACTACCAATAACTTAACCAATACTGTACTTGCTCACTGCATCTGGGGCGCTTAGCCAGCCCCAGCTTCAACAGCGTGGCCAACTTCGGGGAGCAATGGTGCTTCCGGTCTACGACGGCCTTTGCCAAGCAATTCTCCAACGCATTGCCACCACCGTCCTCCTGGTGACTCCGCGCATGAAGCAACACTTCATGACCCTAAAATAACAATTAATAACAGACCATGAAGCAGAAATTGATCCCCCTTGCCTCCTTCCACGCGGTGCAAAGGACTCGCACAACCTGAATGTCAAAGCTGACGCTGGCAGAGTACTGCTGGTCGGGCTCCAGCACAGTCTGCTGGTGCGAAGGGTCGAAGTCAGCTGGCAATGTTGCCAGGTCCAGCGTCGTGGCTGGAAGACTCAGTTGAAACAACAGGTGATATGATATGATGATATGATATGTTACGTTACATTGTGCCAAAGGGCCGAGGCCAAATCTAAATCACAGCGCTCAGCTCTCGCACCCCGCCCCTCACCCAAGCCTTAACTTGAACACTCAGCTGAATCGACACTGAATTTCAAGGCCCAACCCGCTCAGCCTAAACCAAAACTAAACCCGCTCGCGCTGGCTCACTATAGGCCTGGGAGCCTCGCAGCCATGGATTGCATCTTGTCCTCCGTCTTGTGCTTGAAAAGCTTTTCCATCCACATGTGCAGCAGCGAATGCTGCACTGAGCACGCTTGGGTAACCGTTCCTCCGGCTGCAATGTAGAAGGCCAAACAAAACTTGGTCCCATTTGACAGCGCCATCAATGAGAAGAACGCCGTGTTGCGCTCTTGGCTTGCCTGAGAGGGGAGGGGTCCAGGGTCAACCCAACATGTGTGAAACATAACATTCACAAGAGATGGTCCTCCAAGTCCTTCAGCAGCCCTTGCGCTAGCCACATGACCAACGTCGCGACGAGGGACGCCTCGGAACCCTCAAGCAACATCGCCTCGGCCTCTGGCAAGTCCTCTGCGAGGAACTGCGTTGGGTGCTGTCGGATGCGCGTGTAAAGCCCGGTGGCGGTGGAGATGTCCGCCGAAAGCTCGATGAGTTGCTGCTGGAGATCCTGGGCGGTCGGATCCCCGGTAAGCTTGCCGGCCATGTCGTCTATGGCTTTCACAGCCTGAGTGATGGTTCGCTGCTTCGGCTTCACAGACCACAACTGCTCGGGTGAGAAGGCCTTCTTCTTGGAGTCGTACAGTGTGGTTGCTTTCTTGAAAATCTGATCCTGGGCGCTGGTGCGGGTAACGGCAAGATTCTGAGTCCCTGTCGAAGTCATCTGCTGATGCTTCGACTTCGGATCCTTCACACTGATCTGCTGAATGTCCGCTCCACTCGCCGGCGCGGAAGGAGCATGCAGCGTCGGGTCTTTGAGCTTGGGCGACCGCGGAGTCTGCAAGCTTACGCCGCCTCCTCCGCTTTTTTTGGCGCGGCCTGGCGGCTTTCGCTGGTTGGGTTTCTCGCCCTTGTGATTGCCCGCCGAGGCCGCCTTGTCCACCAGATTGAAAGAGCCGAACTCCATGTCCTCCTCCTCTGATTCCTCCTGGCCACGCTCTGAACACGCAGCCGCAGACCCTGCTTCCGCACTCCCACCGAGAAGGTCATCGGCAACAATGTTGTGGCCGCGGTACTCGCTCAACTTGAGATCTAGATCCTCCGCTTTGTTCATCATCTTCGCCAGGTCCTGCGTCTTCCGAGACGCCGCCAAGTAAGCAGCCGAAGCGCTGTTGGCCTTCTCGTGCTTCTCTTCCTGTGCGTCAATCTATTATCTATCTATCATTTAATCATTCATTTATCATCTAATTTGTCTAAACCAATGATTATGACATGAATTCTCCACGTCTAGAATTTGGGGATTGGGAGCTTCAAACACAAATCGTCCATCCATCACCTAAACTTGGACACGGTCCTTCTTCTTGCCTTGGAACTGTCGTGTTCCAAGCTTGACTTGCCTGGGCCCTTGACCAATGACGACTGACGGCACGCCGTGATCATCAAGAACCGTGGCACCGAGCTCCTGCAACAATGTGACTGGGGTGAACTAGAGACTGAAAACCCATCGCACCCAAAAGCCTCCCAAATCCATCCGAATAAACAGCAACCCAGACTGTGCCTCCAACGGCCCCCAAATCCATCCGAGTAAGTAAAGAGCAACCCAGACTGTGCTTCCAAAGGTCCCAAACACCCCCAAATCCATCCGGGCACGCAGATAGCAACCCAGACTGTGCCTCCAAAGGCCCCCAAACCCATTCGAGT